ACGTTTCAGAGGTCATACTGCCTCCGTCTTCAGGGCGATGAAGATTTCTGTCTTCTGGGTTGTTGCGCTGTGTAGTCTGGTCGATGTTAACCGACGTTTCAGAGGTCATACTGCCTCCGTCTTCAGGGCGATGAAGATTTCTGTCTTCTGGGTTGTTGCGCTGTGTAGTCTGGTCGATGTTAACCGACGTTTCAGAGGTCATACTGCCTCCGTCTTCAGGGCGATGAAGATTTCTGTCTTCTGGGTTGTTGCGCTGTGTAGTCTGGTCGATGTTAACCGACGTTTCAGAGGTCATACTGCCTCCGTCTTCAGGGCGATGAAGATTTCTGTCTTCTGGGTTGTTGCGCTGTGTAGTCTGGTCGATGTTAACCGACGTTTCAGAGGTCATACTGCCTCCGTCTTCAGGGCGATGAAGATTTCTGTCTTCTGGGTTGTTGCGCTGTGTAGTCTGGTCGATGTTAACCGACGTTTCAGAGGTCATACTGCCTCCGTCTTCAGGGCGATGAAGATTTCTGTCTTCTGGGTTGTTGCGCTGTGTAGTCTGGTCGATGTTAACCGACGTTTCAGAGGTCATACTGCCTCCGTCTTCAGGGCGATGAAGATTTCTGTCTTCTGGGTTGTTGCGCTGTGTAGTCTGGTCGATGTTAACCGACGTTTCAGAGGTCATACTGCCTCCGTCTTCAGGGCGATGCGTATTTCTGTCTTCTGGGTTGCTTCGCCGTGTAGTCTGGTAGATGTTTACCAACGCCCTGATGACGGAGCCAGTATAACCTCTGAAACGTCGGTAAACGTCTACCAGACGACACGGCGCAACGAAACAGAAGGCAGCCATGATGTCTGCGAACACGTTGATATTTTTATTACATAAATTTCTTTGCATCATTACCTTTCCTTTTCGGTTTGATGATTTACGTAATTCCTGTTTGATTCTCAACCGCTTAAACCTTAGTCCACTCATTCCAGACGACGACTTCTCGAAGCTTCATTTCTTACTGGACAGAACAAATTGCCAATCGTGCGCCTATAAGGCAAGAAAGTATTTATTCTACTTTCACCACGAGTTGTGCGCCATCATGATCCAGTCCTCCAGCTGCAAAAACATGCCGTGTACAGAGTTCTGGACATCTTTAGCAAAAAAAAAACAAAAAGTCCTCTCTGAGACCACATTCAACCAGATACATTTATCCTTCCCTATCGATATTTCGTAATGACGTGTGCTAATGAATATCTAGTAATTAGCACGTTCCAAGAAGCATATTGATTCAAGCATTAACGCTTTTCAAACGACACCATGGAGGCTTCTGGTTTGAATACAGGGCGGGACACCAACTAGACTGAGGGTTATCATAGTTTTCCTCAGTACTTTCACATTGGCCGCAACTGCATTCTCCTCCTAATTTATAAAGTCGCCATTTCGACGCTTTAAATCCTCTACAGCTGATACAGCGTCCTTAAATAACCCGAAATCAAATCCTATTCATCCATTGCACACATTCTGACACGCAAAGCCATTGGGACGTCGAGATACTGATGTCCACGATGATGTCTGTACCAATGGTTGTTTCTTCACGCTGTGTTGGACAATGTCTCAGGTATATTTTGGTACACGTGACGTTTGCGAAGTTGGCAGCACTCCCGTGCTCAAGTAATTGTTTGTCATTACACCAACAAAATTTTTATAAATATATTTTAAGTTTAATGGTGATAAGGTTTTCCGATCAAACATATGTATGCAATTGTGACCTCTCCCATGCGGGACACACGCCTTGCCCTTGCAGGATCTGTCTACAAAGCGTAAAACGCCCACTACAGATGTGCTCGCGCGGAAAAGTGGCCACTTTCTGGAAATCTTTTATAACAAAAATACTGGAAATTCTCTATTTAACACAAGTTTCGAGATGACGCTGTAGCCAACTGCCAACACCAGGTCGTTTGCTGTCATTAAAATAACATGTTTTATCGATACTGTTACAGGAGCATCGATCACTAATATGTCAGACAATGAACATGTCAAATACAATACGTACAAAAAGAGACACGATCCATTGACGAGATGTTCACTTTTGTCTCTCATTAAGTACAAGAATGGTATAAAGTCTTTAACTAAGAACGCATTCTGGAAGATTTAGTGAACCAGGGTGCCAGATTCATCCATATCTGGAGCCAGTCCAAATATGAGAAAGAAGGGTGCATTTATAGTAAAATACCGATGCGTCTACATTATGGCGTATTCCGACAACGAAAATGTTTTGCATTATACAAAACATTGTATATAACCTTCCATACCTGGGGACTAATATTTCCCTTGCGACAAGAGTAATGCATGAAACTGGATTTTCACTAAAAGAAAATGTTACAATATTCTATGGTACACCTTTAGTAATAAAAAAAATATTGTTACTATAAATCTGATAATTTCCGTCTAAATAATCCAAGTTACGATAAACAAAATGTGTCGTGCTTTCTGTGAGGTACGGACTGAACTCTTAAATATTATTTAAGCGAGTTTCGGCTGCATAAGGCTAACCAGCTGATCTTCGTAATGGTGAAGCGTTACGTTTTCTTTGCGGTACGGACTGGATTCTTAAATATTATTTAGGCAAGCCTCGGGCTTTAAAAGTTTATGCAACTCGACGATTCTGTCGACTGCTAAATCAGAGAGATACGAGGAGAAAGTTTTCGAGAGACATACGAATTACTTTGCGTGCCTGTTTCACGGTTAAAATTTCACAAACGACGGGATGTGAGGAAATTATGGACACGACGACATGACCACTACGACGAGAGTGTTGAAAACAGAACAAGGCAGCCGTGAAACAAGAAAACAAACATCTCTAAGACAATTAAAATTTCCTTCCCATACCCTGACTACTACATCGCCACGTTCCCAGTCATATTTTAATTCTTTGTGACTGCTCTCCCTCTCTTATTTGTACAAGTCATAGCTCAACACCAGTTCAAGAACGATTCCTGGCAGTGACCCAAAATGAAGAACACATACTTTCAGCGTATTCATGCATCACAAGACAACTCTTTGTCATACAGGCTTGACGTCATCCTTCCACATGGACGATTTATGTAAACTGTCTCGCAATTGACAGTGCTTATGTAATTTGCTGGTCTCGTTTGAACTGGTGATGACAGTAAAACAATAGACATTTAATAAGAATTTAGACGCTACGTGTGACGTCCCGGCGCAATGAATAAGCTCCGGCCAAAGATCACACAAGACGACTTATTCCAGACGACCCGGAGATGTGGCCGTCAGAGACCTAACGACCAAAGTTCATTGTGCTCAACCCATTTCATGGGTCGAGCTGCCTAAACCAGAATACACTAACATAAACACACCGTTACCATGCAAAACCTGAGAAAATGATAGAGGACTGTGTGTCTATTTGACTAGTTATAAGCGCTTCCCTTACACGCGGTTATATTTTAGTATGAGCATCATCAGTACGGTGTAAGCCAACAGACTCCGGAGTCTGACCCCTGGGGACTAGAACGTGAGACCTCTCATGGTGTATCACTCAGAAAATCCACGGGCAAATCACACAGTTCCCGTTTTACGATGAGATTCGCAAGACAGCAATCCCCGCGTATAACTGAAGACACCTGTAAGTAAAACGCGGGTAGGCCACGAGACGAAATGTGACAGACACGTCACTCCTTCTCATTTTATTTTTTTACTAAGACTATCAAGGATTACGGACCAAAGCTCGAGTCCTTGAAATTAATCTGCTCTTAACACAATGACGATAAGAGCAGACTAATTCGGAGAATTTACTTTCATCCTACGACAAAATCGAGAATGATAATACATTTCGCCCACTGATAAAGTTGAACACAGACGTCACTTTCCGGACTCCGGGCAAAAAAAACTACCGCTTCCGTTCTGGTTAATTGATTTGTTCTTGTGTAACGATACGTGACTCGCGTCGAGATAACTTTGTAGCTTGGCGGTGAGTCATGCAGTTCCAGCCAGGTGCCGGGAAGCGACATGTCGCGTTAAACTTTATCAGTAAACGCACCGTACGTGTGTTTTCCACGAACCAACTAACCTAATCGTCCGTGACGAGCGGAAAAATCAAGGCCACTTAGTAAAAAAAAATATTTCTAAATTAATAATCTCCTCTGCTCCATTTCTGTTTTCCTCCTCAGACGCTGAACTGTAAATGTGCAATTTGCGTGTGTAAGAGCGGCCTTGAGAACCCAAAACATGACGTGTCTTAAAGTTCACAGGTTGTTTATACACATAAACTGTGGATATTCGTCGTTTTGTTTCGTGTTGTTACTTACGACACGTCGACCACGCAACGGGCTGCAGGCCTTAATGACTCACCTCTCCAACCTGCAGGTCAGTTGCAGGCAACAACAACTGTTCACAGCGTACGTCTAGCATTCAGTCTGGTGCCGACCAATTACAATGGCCAGCAGACGATATTTGTTTGTGGTGTAGAATTTCTGTCAGACAATGAAATGCGCGAACAACGTTGAACCACAAACGCACAATTTTCCCTTACGGGGTGGATGTCGTAACGGCCAGAAAACTTTGACCCATAAAAGAAGAGACAGCTAGATAAAACGACATACTACAGAGATTCGCCATCAAATCATCATCATCAGGGTAATAGAATTAAGAGACTGACCAGAGGGACACATGTAGAGAGACAAGAAATGCACGTCTAATTTAATAGAAAATCTCCTGCCTAAGACATCGAAGACAAACATACAAGCAGACGGGTCTCAGATCTTCCAATGGCGGGCTGGTGCTAACACGGTGAAAAGAGATTTGGGGTTCTCAAGAAGCTGAATATTTCGACGTTAATCTTCTGGGTTACAACGCCATGTGGACTTCAGGTAGATGTATTGTCCTCATCCTCAGCCCTGAAGATGGAGCCACCATGCACCTACCTACAAGTCCACACAGCCTTACAGCCTAAAAGATCATCAGTCAACATCATGATGAAATTCCAAGTTCTCGACCACGATCAACATACCTTGCTTTCCCATGGCAGGACGTCCTAGGAGACCAAACCAGCGAAGGAATCGTCTGGCCGTGGTGGCACCAGGACGACAACCCTGCGGCACAGTACAGGTTGTCGCAGGCCGCTGGTGTTCCTGGAGGAGCAGCACGGTTCGACTGCTGGGAGCGTTATCACGGCTGTACGGAGACATCCGGGATTCGATCCTACGTCGGATGTTTCCACATCCACACAATCACTACCACAAGCATGAGCAGCAGCGTCACGACTCCACACAAACCACCTTGATGAACACGTCCCCCCGACAACCCTTAACTCAGGTTAAACACGACGACTAACACAAACGAACGCTTCTGATGATATGACAGGTTACGTCTTCGATACGGGCAAGTCTCTGACGTACTAACGTGTAGGTAGGTCCCCGATGGAACCAACCGATAGCAGCAGAATGCACGTGCTACTACGAAGCTCGAGTAATCATCACACACACCACGACACTACAAATATGTCCCGATGAATTCGGGTACAAATCACACCTGCATATAAACGAACACGCACGCATGTGCACTGGTTCACTGTCTCCACGTCACAAATTCGTCACGGGCAACGTTCTTAAAAAAAAAATCACTTCACAGTTCACGTTACTGTTTCGTAAGAACAAAGCATTCATTTATAAACGAAAGCTGGTGATATCGTCGGCTTGTAAACGAAGTTTAATGCACTCAGATTAAAAAACTTTCTTTGGTATGGACACCGGAGGTTTCTTCTGTACGGTGTCAACTGTTTTCAGGCACTGAGGAAGGAATAAACTCGGTTAACTAATTCCGCCTACGCGTAACTTTTATAAGGAATGTAACAAAACTTGCTTACTCCACTGGACGTCGCTTGGCAATCAGTTTCACACTGCGCTCTCTAAATAAAGCTAAACAGCGCACTATGAATTTTCCGTCTTGTTAAGCACTCGAAATAACGCCACTGGAAACAAGGCTACCTTCACATTTTAAAGCCTTGTTTTATATTTTCATCATAACCCATAACCGCAGCCTCATAATGTTTAAACATTTACCTTCTTCGTCTCTCGCGGATTCAAATACGAAGCAGTGTCTTTACTCCACAAGTAACAGACGCAGAATCCGTACGTCCGCACGCTTCTACGACATAAAAATAACTAACAACGTCCGCAGAGAGAGAACATCGCAACGTAGCGTTTGCGATAATCACCTGACTCAAAGCTGACGAGCAGGCTGGTTAAGTGCGGTCCAGCCAGCGGAATACCCCACTCCACACAACCTGTTTCGACGAGAACTGAGACAATGCGTCCCTGGACTGTGGGCCGCGCGATCGAGTAGCGGTACCCACATCACAAAGACCTACTTTACAATCAGACCCGTACCTTCAATCTAACACGCAAGCGCACACAATAGATGCCAGCACATTCGCGGATCGCAGTTCATGAAGCAGGTGTCTTCCGAGTTCCTGGCAACGGTTGTGCACGCTTTATCAACGTGTTTCCGGCAATCCAAAAATTTGCTAATTTATTCGGGGAAAAAAAATCGGAATAAAAATCTTGCCGCCACCTGAAACCAGTTATTAAATCTCAAAAACGGCCGAGCGAATTTTGGGATATACAGAAAATCACCGCGTTGATATGAATTTCTCTACGTGATGTTTACGATTTCATGCAGAAACTATGGAAATTTTTTAAAAAAAGATAAATATTTTCACATATCGTGATGACAATTTGTAAACAACCCACAAACACTAGAAGACAGATCGGACGATGAAATTACGCATGAAACTACAGCTCCATTTTGAGAGCAGTGGTTACCAATAGGAGTGACGTACACACCTCACAACGGGGCATAAACTCAAACCTCCTCATGTTTCCATTTTCGCTTCTGCTAAAAATATGCTCCACACTCCGGACGTTCCCGGTCAGCACGGGCACGATAAGAGGTGACCGCTTCCTGGAGACACGATTCTACAATTCCTCGTACAACGCTACACAACCTCTGCACATGACACAACGTCGTCAAATGACCCATGAAAGGCACAACAAACCCTCGTCTGTCTAGGGACTTAGTTCAGTTCCTCGGGTGCATCCGCGATGACGAAACCTAATACCTCACGGGTTAAAGGGAGACACGTGAACGCGGATTCTTTACAGAGATTTGAAATCGGGGCCTCTTTAAAACATTGAAACGAATATCGGCTACGTAACTGGGAGGAAAAACGTAATTCCAGTGCGATGACATCTTTGACGCCGCGTATTTGGAACACAAAGGAGGCGACAAAAGGATAACATTAAGATAATGTGAGAATTGATTGGTTATGACTGTAGAAGTAACTTAGCTTTCATCTGACGGATCCTACTGCATTTCCTGATGGGATTAAAAACGGATAAATCCCATTCTTCGATTAGCTGACCTAAAACGGGGGTGCGGTGCCGATCTGTACACACCGAGGGTCGTACACAATCCTGAGACAGTGTGCGAACATGATACGACTTATCACTGAAGAGTAACATCAGGACAGTTATTTAACTAAGCAAATTGTCACAAAAAAAGTTTTGTTTTCAGTAACGTGTTGAAATCCTTAGGCAGTGTTTAAGACGGTACTTTAGTCGTAATTACACACAGTGAGTTACTCCTATTTGTATCGTAATTTTGTGAAATGTATAAATTATTTATTTTAATCCGTCTGATCACAATATTTAAAATCTCTTATAATTAAGATAATAAAATATCATTGATTACTCCTTCCACAAGCAACCCACAGTCAGTATTGACCCACACCTATTCGAAGACACTAGTACTTCTGAACATATCGGGACACTCACTCCTACATCTTTGGTATGTTTTATTTTTATTTTAATTCTATTTTATTGATACTTTCTAAATATAATTTATATATTTTGCATTTTATTCTCTAAATTCTTTTATAAATTCTTTCAAATTCTTTAGTGTTTCTTTCAATCATTTTACTTACAGGCCGATATTCACATCTAATAACATTTACGAAAAACAACACCTTCGCCCAAAAATGGAAAAAAACAAACGTAATGAAACATCACCAAAAAACTACAGAAATCATAATTGAGTTTTAAGTTCTTAGATATATTTTACACCTGATGATGGTTTTATAAAAACCGAAACATGTTGTGTAAATGTTCCGAAATGTAAATCGATCAATCGATATGGAACATCAATGATATTTTATTATCTTAATTATAAGAAATTTTAAATATTGTGATCAGACGGATTAAAATAAATAATTATAATAATATTCACAATATGACGCAATTACACTATCTTATGAAATTCATAAACTAAATTTCCCTTATACATGGCATCTAGACCTGACTTAACTTGCCCCAGAATGAGTTTAAGGACACATTTCTCGATTCTCCTATGAAAAGGGGGGGGAGAGACAATATCTCGGCGTATTAACCGTTTCCGGTCACAGTAGAAACTCTTTTCCGGGTTCACATCAAAAATGAGGAAAACAGTGAATGTATCCATCGCTGAAAGCGGTTGAAACATTTCCAACATTTAATATAAGTTTTTTTTCTGATTTCGATGTAATTTATTTGTTAACAAGCAGAGCATGTGTCAGGAATTGGTTGCGTGACCCTTCGACCACTCTTTATACGCGGTGTGACCCCTGAAGATGGTCTATAATGGACCATAACATGTGAGTTGCAATGATGTAAAAAAAAAGATCTGTATTCAGTGGTTGAAACAGAGGAACATGCAGGCCATATGAAAGTAGTTTCATGCAACAACACTCACTCACATGCCTTGCACATGTGACTTTTCAATCACCCTGTATAACCAGGCGACTAAAGCTAGCAACCGCTTTTACCCATGCATTTAAATCAATAAGTTTCTAATGCAATTCAGAGAGACCGCTCGCTCACCTCGCCTGTAGCTAGAAATCAATATAAGAACCCCCTGGGCTGAACGTCCAAGTTTTACACATGCACGCCTATTAATATACGTACTGAAAGTGTCTTAAAATAGGCCACGATCACTCTCTAAATTTGCTACGCCTGCTTGTATAAGACCTCTGTGACACGCACAGCAAATTACTAAAGAGAAACGCATTTCGTTCGGAATGTCGAAATTCAAGATGGCGGAGCTGCACATCCAGGAGATATTCTTGGTGCGTTCAATTAGTGCGCATTATCCCTACGTCATAAACACCATGTAACACAGCCTTTGAGAAGCTTACGGTCGCTCACTTGGACAAAAAAAAATTCCACGTCTTTTATGGAACCCAAGGGTTCACTACTCTATTCCAAGAGTCCGCCACTGGCCTCTACCCCAAGCCAGATGAATTCAGTCCACAA